ATTTACCATATAATTTCTTTTGTGAATAACATTTTGACCCAATCCTCCTATTTCAGTGTCACATCTCATCTGAGTTGTCTTTGGTTGACAATATCATAAAATAGTTTATGGTATCAAAGCAATAACAAATCGAGTCAATTAAAATGTTAAATTTATAGACAACATTGCGTATTAGTGCGTACAATTGGCATGCAACTAAATTTCAAACACGCACATTTTCACTCTAATAGCCATGTCTATTGCTCTGCTACAAAAGCAGAAATTAAATCTGCAGAACCCTGATATTTTTTAGAAGCAACAGACAAACAACAAGGACAGCAATGCACCATTGTTGTATGCCATTGGATTTTAAATAGTTCACAGACCTGCATTTCAATTTCAATGTACTGTGCAAACTAAAACTGGTCTTGGCTCGTTCAGTTGTGGTTCACAAACAATTCTGTTGGGAACACTTTAAACAAAGCCTTAATTCTTAAATTAAAGAACCTTCAACTAAGCTACATTGATTGATTTAAGTTGGAGTGGATTGGCTCACATATGCATACTATTTATACACATTGGAAAATTTGCATGTTGACCCTCGAAAAAGATCAGAACGAGATTGGTTCGAGAAGAAAAGGGATAAATGGGAAGTTATAGAGAATGGGGATGAGCTACAAGAGACTATACGATTGATTAGCGACTAGAGTGTCCGCCAAATTATTAAAAACTCACCGTTCCAAGCAATTACAGTATATTAGTTCTAAACAGTTAGACTACTATGGAAAACTGTGGGCATACAGATAACCACAACACTTCAAAAAGTGTAGAGGATTGACATAACCACATTACTGGTCCCTGTCACGCCGTTAAACTCAACATTTCGTTCAATGATCTCTGCAGAAATTGTAGAGAAGACGAGGAATTTCCTGAATTTAGTAGACAGTGCACATTTTTTTACTAACAAGTACCATCAGCTTTCGATTATTTTAGTTTTAAAATGCATTAAATTGTAACTCATTTCATTGGTATTTAAAAATGCGTGATAAATAGAAACTAGTTGTTGAACTCGATAAAACATTAGAGCTAGTTCATTAAAACTAAACAACGCTACGTTAATTCAAATGCATACACATGTATACATATATAGCGATATACATGAGTATGCATACACAAACAAAAGTGCACACAGCACGTTGCTATGTCTTGGAGCACATAAAACATTTTACGCAAACCGAATGATACTGATGCTGACACATGCACACAAGTCATGTCCAGTCAGATACTGTCCAACAGAAACAACAACTCAAGCAACAACGGCCGAGGCCAAAGGCAGCTACAAGTATGGAGGCTACGGAGGCAGGAACAAAAATGTGCTATTGTGCATATAATTTGTCACTCGCATGGTCTTAATGGTACGCACACACTCATGCACACACATACACACACTCGTTCACCGCATTCCCATTCAAGCAAAGCCGCACATAAAGACGGCGGAGCAGTTATGAATGTGTTGGGTCATCTGGCACAACAAGTATTACTGTCAGAATGTAAAAGTTGTCGTTTATCACACATACTGCGAGTATACAGACTATGCCTTCACACCTACTCACCAGACCAAAGGTACGATACGGTTATGGGAACCCCTTATTTACAAACTATCCCTTAAAAGGCCGTCCACCGTTTTATAACTCTATAATGCAATGCTCAGCCAAGCTCATAATTTACCCACAAATTGGTTTAAAGTTTCAGATAGGCCATTAAAAGTAATTTAAAATTACAAGTTTCCTGCAGTAGAAAACCTTTTTTTTTGCAAAAATATTGTTGTTTTTGGACGAGAATAAAATTTGTATACCTCTACTCTCTCTCAGTAATATTTAGCTACATAAATTTAATTTGAAGTGAATGTTCGAGTTGTTGTCGGCAGTTCTAAAATTCCAATTTGTGCTGTTTCTGTTTAAGTCATTTGCTTGGGCATTTCCGGTTTGCCAAATTGTTTATATAAACTCAAATGTTTTCTAATGTCTGTGTACTAAAAAAAATAATTGCTTGGCAGAGGCTGTCAGTTTCATAAAATAAAATTGAAAATGTTAGTTATCGAAGATTGGTTTTAGTTGGCACTTAAAACTAATATTTAAACTATAGAGAGTGTCGCAAATTTCTTTTTAGTCACACATGTACTTTCTGTTCCTCACATAAACAATATGATGCTAGTGACATACTCATATATATGCTTTGGTTTCTGACATTTGCATACAACACCCATTTATGTGCTGTGTTTCGCATTCCCTGTACTCCATATTCATTTTATTTGCCAGCTCTTTGTTTCTGCTGCTGCTGATGCTGCTGTCTCTGCCTCTGTCTCTGTCTGCCTTGGACTAAAACTTTGCTGTTGGGTTTCAACACGTTGACAAGTGTTAAAATAACATTTGCACTGAATTTTAAATGGAATTTTACTACAACTTTTTATATTACCTACGAAGCTGGACAGCGGCAGGCACTGACAGGGACTGTCGTTGCCAACGCTACTACCTTTACTATTATTGTAACTGTTGTTGTCGTTCTTGTTGGTGTTGAAACCTTAAAAACAACAAAAGAGTTTTCGTGCTGGCCTGTCAAATTGCCTGCTACATGCCATTTGTAAATACATCAAAAATGCTAAGAAAAAAAATATATATTCTACATATATTTATTCACCGCACGTTACGCTCAACCTAACCCCCCACACCATTATCTGTTCATCCACTTTAAAGCATGTGATTTTTGACACAACAACAAAGTTCATGTTGCGCAATGCATGGCACAAGCACTGCAGGCTGTTGTTGTTGTTATTATTATTATAGCTGTGGCTATTTTTAGTCCATATCTAAAACGGAAATGAAACGCAATCTGAACGCTACCCACAAGCTGACACAAACACACACACAAACATCTAAACAGCCATTGCAAGCAGATTTTGCCTTGGCAACGAAAAAAATCGTAGCATACTTTCATGAGCCCTTGCTGCCCACAGGAGATTCGCCCTTCGTAGCGTGATGTGCGCACGTACGTGAGCGTTAAATTCGTTAAATTCGTGCAAAAGTGTAAATAAAATAGCTGTACTTAACGCGAATTGGAATCTGCTTAAGGTCAGGTTGTTGGCGTGAGGTTTGGCGATGTAAATGGTCTACAAGTATACACTTTATTGAGTGTTTCGCATTGAATGCAAGAAACTTGAGCACAGACAGAACGAATAAGTCTGAAGAATTTGTTAAATGCTTAAACTACTCCATGAATATAATGTTATTTCTATCAAAATTAATAAAAATTAAAAAAAAGGAAGTAAAGTTTTTAGCACTGTGGGCTCAGCTGTCTTCGAAATCCAGGCATTCTTTCAGACAGACGGATACAGGACCATGGCTATAACAATTCGTCTTGTCATGCTGATTAAAAATATACTCGTTTATACTTTTTGGGGTTGCAGGTGCTTCTTCTTCCTGCTGCACAAACCTAATATAAACCTATTTTGTGAAGCTCGATGTTTTTCACAGCCATGAAAAATCACTTGGATAGGTTTCAAAAGAAAATTAAGGTAATTATTTTCCAAAACTACCTTAACAATCAAAAGTTATTTTTTAGATATTATCACCTTTTTTTGTCAGTTTTCTTTCTTCCCTATTGCGACACTGAGTAAAATGAAATATATATATAAAAACTAAACAGATTTACTCACGCGGCCATAACTAACACCCACGCAACTGGGCCGTGTCCAGAGCACGTTTGTAATTTTTGCATATTTTGCGGCGCACAAATGCCTTCAGTGACATTTTTTCACGATTATTTGCACCGTTGTGCTTCCGGTAGCTTTGTCCTCGGCGTGTCACGACAAAGTGAAAAGTGGCCACATGCCACGCTCCGATGGTTGCCATATGGACTGGTGCACAGCGTGTGCGCCTCTGCTGCGGCTTGTAGACACTTTTCGATTAAATTACCGTAGCTGTCAAGCACACACTCGTTTTATCCTGCAGCTGTCATCGCTTGGGAGCATGTGCGAGACTGTACTTTTTCATCTTGACTTGCTTTTGCAACTGTGCTGCACTTTGAAATTCGTTTAAAAAAATATATCATAGCTCAATTATGGCCTAGGACAAAGAGTTCACGGGGAAGAACAAACGCATGCTCGTTCTTGTGACAGTTCCAGCTGTTGAGCTTTAATTGCCACTAAAAATGATTGATGCCGTTCGGGACAAAAGTTTTTCGGGATAGCAACAGCGACGACGACTTCGACGACAACGACAACGACGACCACCGACTACGATGACGTTGTTGATAGTTTAATTAAATGGGCAGAACTACGTGCCATATGTTTCTATTATTAGCCCCTTTGACTAACCGCTGGCTGATTAGCGAACAACATGGGCGGAAACGCCAAGAGCACTGGCTCAGGATGTAAATGTCAAGCGACAATATTTTCTGTTCATCATGGATTATTGATAGATAGTAGGAACTGTTTGTTATAGCGCTATACATCATCAGGTTCCGCTTGTGTGCATTTTATAAGCGATAAGCGCTGACGTACTCGCAAAATTCGATCACACTAACGAATGGAGGAACTTCAAATAAACTAAACGAAATCTTTACACTCAGTTGTGGATTTGAAAGCAGTTCAGAGTTAAGGATTGTCAAAATGTTGCATTAATTGCTGGACCATCAACTTTATGAAAGTATAGCTTCAACTGTTCTAAAGAAAACACTTAAAGGACATTTGTTCGATCTTATCGATCTTATCGACTTCTAAATAGTATCATAAAATTTTTTTTGTTTATGTGTTATTTAAAACTTTAATAGTGAATGAAAAAAGCTCCTAATGTTCTAAATATTTTACTCTTGAAATATAACTTTTTTAAGTACTCATCGAATAAGGTCACTCGTGAAAATCATTTCGTCACTAGCGTTCACACTGCTTCTCCTTAATTATCAATCATTTGTGCTTTCTATTTGTTGCTAATCAGAATAAAACACACTTTGCTGTCACAAACAACCAAATCTTTTGCTCAACAATAATTACGTTTATATTTCTTCTTTCACATTTGTAGTCCAAGAGTTCGTAGCGCTAATCCTAAACAAAAAATGCCGAACTTTAACGGTGCCATTATAGTGCACACTCTGGAGTACCTCAAGTCGCCGGCAACACTGCAAGAAATTTTAATGACCATTGCAACCAAAACTGAAATGCAGGCAGAGGATTTGCATTTGCCGGTTAAGGAGACGCTCGAGATTGGCAGGCGTTCTGGTTTCTTACAAAAGTCTAATGGTAAGCGAATTTAGTTAAGTTGTTATCGATAATAAATAGAGTGGACGGACGTCTTTTATCAGTTTGGGGTCTTATTCTTCTAAATGATTATTTCCAGACAAATATTTCCTCATGCCTGTAACATTCGGCTCCCTGATGGAGCATGCACAGGCCGCTGATTTAGGGACCTTGGCCATGCCCGCTGCCTCGGGCAAGCAATCCAAGTCTAAGGATGACCCCAATTGGGTTAAGGAGACAAAACCCAAAGGCGAACGGAAGCACCGAAAAAAAACGCTGGAGCAGGCAATGGCCAGTGCCCAGAAGATGACCAAACAGATGATGCCACCAGCGATGGAACAGCAAGCCAGCTCACAATCGCCACCGCCTACTCATCTGCGCCTCGTGTGCCCCAAGCGCTCAAGGATCCTCCAAAGGAAACTCGAGTAGAGGTTGAATCGAAGTCGAAAAGAAAATTTTACGTTTATTTTCCGTTACTTTCTGTGTCTGTCTACTCGTATCCTGAAAATGAAATGTTGCCATATTGTGGCGAAATGCGTTTTGAAAAATGTTCATTCATTTGTGCGTTTGACAAATGACACAATTAGCGTGCCGACAACATGAACAACAACAACCACTACAGGATGACGAGGACAAGTTGCTGTGTCTTGTCCCGTCACATCCTTTTTAATTTGAAAGTCAAATGAAGCATAGCGCCAGCTCCCAATTGCCAATTTGTAGCGTGCATGCATTGCTCGGCCCATATGGTTGCCTCAATGCCCCACGCTCCCTCCATGGGCTCAGCCAGTATCTTAGTAGGGGGGGTTTAAGACTATATTTTCTACTATTAGATACATATGTTGGTCTGTTAATTTGACTTGAGGATGACATATTTATTTCTTTTTGAGTTAAAGAATTTCTTAAGAGACAATGATTCGGTAAGAAAAATCTTGCAAGAACATATGTCAAAAATATTGGATAATATATAATTTAGGACTCCAAACAAAAAATAAAACATTTTTAAAATGAAAAGGTTATAGTCCCGACTAGATAACTAAAGCTGTCATTTTGTAATCCAAATTATTATCTTTATTTAGTTTATTTACGGGGGAGGCTTCAGCTGCACGTCTTGACTCCCCTTCATTTAGAAGACGACCATGCCATGCTCTCGTGACAGGCTTTGGGAATTGAATCGTAGCCGCCATCGCCTTCTTTGGCTGACCTTTCGTGTCACCCAACGACGATGACGTAGTCAAAGAGCGTCGCACCAACCCGAAGGCATTGCCAATATGTAAACAGAGCCGCCAACACATCGCCCAGAGAGCGCAAAAAAGTCTGTCGCGTGGTGAAATCGAGCGAGTTGAGTTCGCTCGTGTTCGCTGCGGAGTGCAACAAATGTTTGAGTCGACAAGCCTGCCCGCCCAACAAGGTGATAGTTAAGGCAAGGCACCACTCTCAACGTGGGCGTCGGTAGATGGGTGATGGGTGATGGGAGAGAGGGAGAGGGGGAGGTTGTTGGCTACGACGCGTGGGCGCCCATTGAAGTTATTTCCTTGCCTTTTTTCGTGTTTTTTTTTTTTTTTTTGGCATACTGGCATACATATTTAGCAGTCGCGTGTGTGTCTGTGTCAATGTGTGTGTTCGTTTTTATATACCTTGTTGTACTGAGAGTCAGTTGGCGCTAAGAGTCAACGTTTTCATGGATCACTAGAGGTCAGCCTGGTTCGACGTAAAAGAACTTGCAGTCGGTTAAGAAAAGGACAGGTGAAACGAAGTTCGATTCGCTGGAATCGACTCAAAAGATACTACGTTTTTTTTTTTTGTGTTTATGGTGCGCTGTCGAAAAGAGGCGGACTAAGATGTCGATGAGGGTCTGATGTCCGTTGCTGCAGGGTAACTTTTTAAGGCATGCATGTGGCTGTGTGTTTGTGATTGCAAATGTGATTGCTGCTGCTGGTGCTGCTCTGGTGATGCGCGCATGGCCAGACAATGAAATGTCAAAGCAGCTTGCGGTTTTTTGCGGTATCTGAATACATATACATACATATGTACGAATTCCCGTTCGTTCGCGTATGTATGCGCATGTTTCATATTCAGCTACAATATAGGCATGACTGTAGCGAAGGGTGTCAAGATGGGGAATTGCCACCCAGAATATTAGGCGTCATAACATATAGGAAACAAAATATTTTGAAAACCTTCAGAACTTCCTAAAAACCTGGAAATGGAATACTATCAATCCGAACAAAATACAAATGAAATTTTTCCTGAAATTAGATCATTAATTGTGTTTTGGAAATACTCATAATCGAAATAAATTGGACTATGGACCGCCCTTATTAGGTTTAGAGCGGTAACTACAGTAAACCATCCCCTCCGGACATCCAACAATCAGACATCACGGAAGCGGGATTACATATTGTTCCTACTACGTATATAACTACATATAGTAACTGTGCGAACGATAGCAATTCAGTATGTATTTGCAACTTTCATTTTGTAGTTTTCCGCTTTAAAATGAAATTTGGGCATTTATTTAGTAACTCGGCAATAATTGTTTATTTGGTTTCCATTTTCCCATATTTAACTGCTTTTTTTTAGAAATATTAGTGAAAACATACTACACTGCCTCAAAACTCGAATTTGGAAATCAATAAAAACGGAGTAATAAAAAATAAAACCCTCCCAAATGAGATCCTGGCTACGCGCATGTATGTATGTATTTGGCATTTGGTCTAGCCCTTTGTAGCATATGGCCCATTCAGTTAGTCGCCTTTTGCTCTGCAACAAAAAAATATTTACTCGTCATATGGACTCCGATTACATTTCCCAACACAGCAACAACAGCAACAAAAAGGCAGATATATACATATGTATGCATGTATATTCACTTTGTATACATATGTATGTATGTGTGTTTATTCGCATTCGCAATTCAGTGATTAGCTGATAAACATATGTTGCCGCTTAATTTTTTGCAACCATTTTTTGCACAACAACGGCATGGATGGGTTAAGTGTGTGTATCTCTATGTATGATGGGATTATTTTAAGTGGCACTTAAAAGGGTTTGGGCGGCTTTTAAGGATGCGGTTTAAATTTGACCCAAAATCTCAACAGCGCATCAACAAGTTTATTTTTGAACTTGATTGAGCGACACTTGCGGCAATATTGCGTATACGCCCAGTTGGACAGCCAAAGATGGCCCGAGATTATTTGTTTTAATGCGCGCCATGCTTGCCATAAAATCAAAGCAGTGATTATTTCTTAATCCTTCGTTCTGTCTCGTCGGCCCTGTTGAACTAATGTGTAAACTTTGGCCATCTAAAAATAATTGCCCATAAACTCGTCGAGCACCCCTTAAGTTGAGTTCCTCTGGCAAAACTTTGCACCCACTCGCTCTCTCAAACAAAAGCGCCGTCCAAACTCGATTAAAAATGCATAAATGCAATTAAAACTAAATGAAATCGAACGGGATTCGCAAAGAAAAAACGACTCAAAAAGCACTGGCCGAGCCAACAACCAACGGTGAACAAACAGAGAAAAAAAAGCACACAAACAGTAACAAAAAACAAAGTTCAAGTCGCGCTAGCTCGACTTTCGAATACCCTGTTCCTAATATTTAACCTTTTGGCTAAAATAAACTTTGTCTTATCAATCATTCCTCAATTTTTATTTTATTTTAATAAAACATCAGATTATTGCACAACTTATAAATGTTGATTTCTGGACGAATCATTCCTATGCCAACTAAACGATATAATATACCGATTTAGATGAAACTTCACAACATGAGGCTCTATAAAAATACGTAAATCCCTGATTAGGATTGGTCTTTCTAGTTGTTATGAATAAAAAGTTATCGGTGTTCATACAGACGGTCAGGCGAACATGTCTACATCAATATGTCTCGTCATGGTCATCATATATGAACCTACAAGTTGGGGTCTGCCTTTCAACTGTTAAGTAAAATTTTTATTAAGGCTTTCTAGACTTGGACTTTCCCACAGGTACAACAGAGTATAGTCCTCTTTTGTATACTCTGTAACCGTTTACTAATTATTTAAAGTGAACATTTTAAATATTGTAAAATATACTTTAAATTAAATCTCTTATTATACTCTGTAACCGTTTACTAATTATTTAAAGTAAACATTTTAAATATTGTAAAATATACTTTAAATTAAATCTCTTATTATTAAACTTTTGGTATGAAGTTTAGAAATGAACTTGAAAAATTTTTTGTTTCTTAAACACATTTTAGCATTTAAACATTTATTAAAACAAATACTTTTGTTGATAAAGCAAGAGAATATTCCAAATTCGTTTTAATTTAGCCAGTTTTGTAAATGTTATACTTTGAGGGTCTGCCACGCCTCCTTTTTGTTGTTAAAACTATAAAGCTGACTATTTCGTAATGCCCTCTTAGCCTTCGTACAGGGTACAAAGTGTATCAAAAAACAAAGCGAAGGAAGAAGAAGAAGAAAAGAATGAACTATGTAATGTGTAAATGCCATAAGACTTGAAAACGCCAACGTGCAACAGCAGCGACAGCGGCACCGTTGGCGACTGCGACTGCGACTGCCACAGCACAGCAGTTGTGGCAGCAAACACACAGAGACGTCGACAAACCTGCTACATGAAGCACTCAAAAGGCGCGACAAGTGTCGGTCGGTCTTGTTGAGCGCCGACGTCGACGCCGCTGCTTCTACTGGCAACTTGAAGCTTACTGTGGTGAGTTCGCAACCAACTGCCTCGGCGTGTAAGAAGCTTCCAGTAGGTGGTGGGCCGGTTTGTGGGAAGCGTCGCCACAGCCACGACGGCGTCGCAGTAAGCGAAGCCCTGACCATACGGCAGCGACTGAGACGACACACAGTGGGTCAAAATCGGCCACTTAGTTGACTAGATATTTTTACGAGCACTACATACTTAAATAATCCTCAGATATTAGAGAGATTATCTTGCAATTTTCCATTCAACGTAAACTTTTGCTTAAATAAACATAATGTTCGCTTTGACATTACCCTTAAAGTTCTTTCCGAAAAATACAAATTATTGTCTAAAAAAGTAAAACTGTCCAAATTTCGATAAAAAATAAAAGTTTGTCAGCAAACGAAGGAATTACATAATACACGGTCGAAAAATGTATTCAGTAATTTTAAGCTGTTAAGCTGTTGTACTAAAAAAAAGCCTTTTCATTCAACTTTTAAACTTTGTCCCAAAATTGTAACAATATACTTTATATTTTAGCAAATTTTTAATTTAAACTTGGAAGAAAATGAAGCGTTTTTTACATCTTTCAAGATTAACTACTGAGCTTAACAATACCATTATTTTTATTCACCTGGATCACTTATTAGTACCTTTTTTTGACGTTCAGGAGACAAACAAATTTCAATTAGAAAGAAGAAAACCATTTAACACATTGGAGGACATTTTTATTGGCCAGCTTAATTATAAATGAGACCCACTGTGCGACGGCGGCAACAACGTTGCGTCAGTGAGCTGAGTAGCGCGACTGGTTGGCGAGTTGGTTTACTCGCTGGCTGGTTGCACTTGTTTGCTGCCTCTGTTGTTGCCATTATTGTTGTTGTAGCTGCCGCTGCTTTGTTTTGTGTGCCACAAACTATTGCCAATTCACAGACAAGCACACATACATACACACACACACACACACACATGAGCGCCGCCGCTGGGTTGCATGTTGGCATGCCTTTGTATAAGTACACATGTATGTTCGTGTATGTGTGTGTGTGTGTGTGTGAGTGTGAGTGGCTAACATATTGTTGGCAATTTTTGACATTTTCCATGCAAAAATGCGCACAAAATGCAACGCACAGCGCACAGCGACAATAACAAAGCATAAAAAGCATAAATATAAACAGAAAAAATATTGTAAAGTAACTGAAACAGCGAATAACATTTTGTTGTTGTTGATGTCCACGCTTTAATGAGCGCATATGTTGCGCATGTTGGATGGAACCCGAAAAAAGTGTTGGGCCTTCTCTGACTTACTTTGGACAGCTGCTGGCGGGCAGCGATGTTGGCGTTGACGTTGCCGCTGACGCCAACTACGGACTGCATTGGCGAGTGTGCAATGTGCAGTTTTGTTGTTGTTCCGCTTTGGTTTGCTTGAAAACGCACTAAAAAATATTGTTGTTGTTGTCGCTGCTGCTTTTACTTTTGCACACACGCCACACGGAAATCGTACACACAATCACAAACACACACACACGCACGAACTCACATATTCACACATACGCGAAACACGCACGACTACTACGATGATGACAGGCTGCAGAAAATGTAAACGACCAAATCAAATTGTTTTTGTTTTTTATTATATTTCTATTTTCTTGAAATCGATCAGCCACCGTTAGTTGTTAATTGGGGAAAAACCTTATAAAAATTTAACAAGTTTGCAATTTAGATTTCTTGTTGTTGCTGTTGTTGTTGGTAATTGCGCGACGACGACTACGACGGCAACGGCAACGGCGTTAGCGGTAATGACAAAGACGGCGACGACGACGACGCGCACGGTTCGAAAGTCACACTTGCGACTGCAAACGCGGCAAACGTTTGATTGACGCAGTGCCTCTATGGATAACTGAAAATGAGCCCAAAGCCGGGAGAGCGCACACCCGAAGCAGGGAGCACGAAGTCCAAACCAATAACACGAATCGAGCACCAACGCCGCCGACGCTAACGCTATCACACACACTTAGAAATAGCAAGAGAGAATTTGACAGCCGCTCAAGTTCGAAATAGAAATACCCTTTGCACCAACTAACTTTCGTTGTATTAATTATTTTATTGTTCATCAAATAAAAAAACAAAAAAAAAAACAACTAGACAATTTGCCTTCATACACATACTGCAATATCTTTAAATGCAAAACATCGTGCTGATGAAGAATATTTACACTCTATTGTGTAGGAGATCCTGCCTACGTCCTGCACAAAACTAATATACCCTTTGTATCATTTTTGGGTAAAGGGTACGATAATGAGCGGCATTCGGCGTTGGCGCGTGGGAGCACCATTTGGGAGAGTCGAGTTGCAAGCAAATTATTATTTGCTAGTGGGCCGCATTTGGGCTGCAAAGAGAGTGCGAGTGAGTGAGAGCATGCATGAGTGTTTGAGCTAACAATATTTGAGTGATTTTCACCAATGGGGGGCCACTTCTCTTGCCTCTCCTGCTGCTACACCTGTTTGACAAGAGTTGTGGTGACTGCAGCTGATTCTATGTACGTATGTATGTGTGAATGTATTGAACGGCATAAACTCAACAGCTGTTTGGCAAAAACAATATTAAAAGTACAAAAATAGTAGAAATTAACTGAACAAAATAAATTGATTTCAATCATTCAGAGCGCTCCATAAAACAACAAGCTAAAAGGTTTGATTAATAACAAATAATTATCAGCAACAGTTATTGCAATTTTGAAACAATATTGTGTGTTCATTGCAAAAAAAGCTTTATATTAAAGTATCTACAACAACTTTGGTTGGTGTCTTGACTAAGCGGTTTAAATGAAATCCAAAAGATTTGCGCCCAACATTGGATTCCCACAATGATAATTGAATTTTATTCAATTTTACGTACGCTTCCGACATCTATGTTAAATTCTCATAATGGCTTGTTTCTATTTCCCGTTGTCTAATTAATTTTTCTGCCATTGCATAAAATAATTTTTCTTAGCCCATACAAACTGCATTGGTGGGGTGGAATGCTGAGTTTTAGATTGATGCCAACAGTGTTCAATTTCTAAAACAGAACTAAAACCTGATTATTTGTAAAGCCTTTTCAACGTACATAGTATGCGCAGCATTTTAAAACGCTCGCGCCAATTATCAAGTTTTGCGCAGCAACCAGCTTTTGTTCGCGTGTGTGGCAATTGAAAACGCCTGCGTCGAAAGCTTAATAAATAGTTCAATCAGACGCCTGCTGGCTTTTCAATGAGCTAACAACAACAATGTGTGCAGATAGAGCTTTATGGATCACCGTTCTTATCACTTGTTTATGGGCTGACGCGATCTACAGTATGTATGTACATATGTAGAAAAAACCCATAAATAATAATGTACACATGTATGTGTAGGCGAAGCAAGGGGGAAAATGCAATACAGTTGAATGCAAACAAAAGAAATCGGAAGCTCAGAAGGAGTTTATGTATGTATGGGTGTATTTAATTTCACTTTTCTTTATTTATTATTAGATTACAATACGGAGAGAGCTTGCGCTTCTTACTTTTTGGCACTCAAGAACAGACTGAATCATAAAAAAAATGTTTATTAAACATACAATTATTGAATCTTAGCTGGAATCTCAACGCAGACGATATCCACATTATTCTGATCCTGCAGCTCCCATTTGACCAAAACCGAGACCCTTGGATAGCTTTGGAGCACTGGCAGCGTTGCCGTGTATCTGTACGTCTCATTCTTCTCCAGCGGACAATGGAGGCCGCTGTCCTTGCAGGCATCGGGATTGTGCAGTGGGAAAGGCATATCGATGCCCAACACCCGCCCATGCACAACCGTCTTCACCGCGGTGGCCTCCTCGGCCAATGAGAAATCAATTGAGAACGACACCGTCGTATTGCGCTTCAAAATGCATTCCGACTTCGTCGTGTCGCAGCCCTCGATGACGACACGCGTGAACTTGCCCGTCTTGGAGCCGCAGTCGGTGAATTCCAGAGCCTGCAGGGGGGCGGCGCACATCGCCAGCAGGAAGAGCGCCAAAGTGCCGAACTTGAACATATTCACAAACCCCACTAATTTCGTTTAATTAAATTACAAGCAGTCGTCGCTGATGTGAGCTTCCGCCGAGAATTGTGCAAGACGAGTTTACAGCAACGCAGCTAAGAAACTACTGAAAGCGCTGAGATAGCAATTCTTACAACAAAAAAGAGAAGAAAGAAAAGAAGCCGATGTGCAAATAAATAATCAAAGCAAAGCACAACAAGTAGAATGAAATGAACAAGCACAACTCTTGAATGCCCTACAACCGACGCGGAAAAGCTATCATAATTTATTTACATCTATTAAATGTTTTGATAAACAAATTTACTTTACTTTAATATTAGTAAATAGCAGACTAACTGGAATACATAAATACATGTATGTATATTAAATATTTTTGTGAGGACTCCCTTTGGATTTTACAAAAACTAAACAATGCCCCCTCAGGAAAAGGGTATAAGAACAGCTGCGAGCGCGCTTTAGTGCTATACAAACCAGCTGGTTGTCGTGTAGCCGGTAAAAGCTCAAATGTGCGGTAGCCATGACTGCCAATTGGAAAGAAAAGCTTGCCTCAGTATTCGGCAATCATCTGGACTGGCCGCTTTGCACGCATTTCTCGGCGGCATTTAATTAGTTTAAATTACATGCCAAATAAAAAATTCAAGTGTCTTAATTTTTGCTAAATACAATTTAAACAATTTTTGTTGAGATTATGTCGCAAATTTGTAAGCGCAGTTTGTTCAAAGCAAATCGCTTGGCACTTAATTCAGCGCCGGCTGTTCTACGTTTAAAGTAAGTTTGTTGTTGTTGTTGTTGCTGCTGCTGCTGTAAAACTAACACGTTGGCAGTGCGGTGGTGCAGTATTGCAGCCGACACTGCTCTACTATGTCATTTGTCAAGGTCATTGCATGTGGCCATGTGTATAAGAGTGTTGCTGTGCTTTTTGACGCCTGGATAATTCAGACATTGTTTTTTTTTTTTGTTTTGCGCCTGCTTTTTAATTATGTCAGAAGTACTGTCGCAGCTGTTGGTGTTCCCGCTTCACTCTCTCCCCCTCTATCGCTCTCTTTGGCTCAGTACTTGAGTTTTATTTAATGTATGCACTCAGCTGTTTTATCTTGTTTGTCAGTCTCTACTGATTTGCTTACAGTTATATTTGCATAGAGTGTAGCATGCATGTATATACATATGTATGTATGTGTGTGGCTTTGCATTATCTTTAAAGCTGCAAACACGGAACATCCGCCGGTTCATTGAGTTTGTTTCCATGATGGAAAAATAGACACACACACATGCATACATGCATGCACACATTCTTATTTATAATGTCAACTAAATTTAAATGCTGGCTTGGTTTTTTTTTCATACAGAGAGCACAATCAAGTGTGTTTCGAATTTTTGAATAGTCATAATGATTTAAGTTCTTTTGCAATCATTGCTTCTAATTAAATATACATATGTATGTATGTATGTATGCACATATGTTTGTTGAAATCATAGTTCAGAGCTATAAATACGTTTTGAAACACTAAGCTTCGAATACACAAAGCTTTATTTTGTTTCTTAGTTCGCATTCGTTTAACTTTTTCCATGTAATGTACAAACTCATAGACTTTTTAAATGTAACAACTACATACATATGTTTCTTTTTTTATTTATTTATTTTTATTTTCATTTAATTTCAAGTACATTTTATTAACGAATAAATTAGTAAACGTACGACCCGTCAGAGTCTTTAAACTGATTTAAATTTATCTCAAAATTGAAATCAAGAACTGAGGAGCTTTTTCTAGAGAATAAATAGAAACAATAGGACCAACCCTGAATCTTTGTGAACAATGCCTAAAAAAGTTGACTAAAAATAATTTTTAAAAAAAGTGGAAAATAACGTCAATATCTTTAATAATTTGTAAAAAAAATACTTCAAAATATTGAAATACTCCGTAAAAGTTATGCCCCAGAACACGGCAGAGCTGCTACACAAGTTTCTGTGGTATGCTTTAAAGCTTTGGAAACAACGTGCCCGAAAAACTTGGTGTAGCGCAACCCACTATCATGCTTTTATCGCGTGCTGTGATTTTTATAAAGTTTCTCACTGTATTTTTTCTTTGCGCCACCATTAAACATTCCCACATACTTAAACAAAAACTTTATCAATATTCTCTGGCCGGTGACGTGCCACCCCATAAAATAATGAATTCTGTTTACTTTGGAAGTTATTTTGCATGCAAAAATATTTCTGCCATTTAGATTTTTCTGATTGGCAACAGAATCGAAGGAAAAAAAAAAACGTCATCTTAGCAACAAATAAAAAATAATCACCACTGACGTCTGTTGAATGCAATTCCTAGGCTTGTGGCCGGCCTCGCTGAACTGAGAATTCTGGCAATTGTTTACAAAGTAAGGCGATAATGAGCTGATAATGAGGCTACACCACTATTGGGGTGTGCAGTGTTGTAGGATATGAAAACCTCCAAATGACTTTCAGACTTTGTTTTATGCTTGTTTGTTGGTCAGCACTGCAAAGGCCAACAATTCTAGATAATGGCTCAAGTGGCAATTCACAGTCCTACCCTAATGTTTGCTCTTCTATTCATTTACAGATCAACATGGTTTTCCGAAGTGCAAATGGGCCCGCCCGATGCCATTCTCGGCGTAACGGAGGCCTTCAAAAAGGACACTAATCCCAAGAAAATCAACTTGGGCGCTGGTGCCTATCGCGATGACAACACCAAGCCCTTCGTACTGCCCAGCGTGCGTGAGGTAAGTTCATAAAACAATATATAATAAGATTATCGCAACTAATTGGAGCTTTTATTTTGCAGGCGGAGAAACGCATTGTGGATCGCGCCATGGACAAGGAATATGCCACCATAATAGGCCTGCCCGAGTTCTATAACAAGGCCATCGAACTGGCTTTGGGTGAAAAGTCGCAGCGTTTGAAGGCCAAGCATAATGCCACGACTCAGGCGATTAGCGGCACGGGAGCGCTGCGTATTGGTGCCGCCTTTCTGAACAAGTTCTGGCAGGGAAATCGCGAGATCTATTTGCCCACACCATCCTGGGGCAATCATGTGCCCATCTTCGAGCACGCAGGATTGCCGGTAAAGCGCTATCGGTACTACAATCCAAAGCATTGTAACTTGGATTTCAATGCAATGGTTGAAGATCTGAAGGTAGGTCCTTCAAGCTCTGCCCCACATTGCAGGCACATTTATTTCAATCTCTCCTTTGCAGAAAATCCCGAAAACTTCCATTGTCCTGTTGCATGCGTGCGCGCACAATCCCACTGGCGTTGATCCCACAGTTGAGCAGTGGCGGGAGCTCTCCCGGGTGTTCAAGGAGCGCAATCTGTATCCATTCTTCGACATGGCCTATCAGGGCTTTGCCACCGGCAACGTGGATGGCGATGCCATGGCTGTCCGTATTTTTGAGGAGGACGGTCACGATTTCTGCTTGGCCCAGAGCTTTGCCAAGAACATGGGTCTCTATGGTGAACGCGCTGGCGCCTATACGGTTGTCTGTGCGGATGAGCAGGAGGCGGCCCGTTGTCTGTCCCAGATCAAGATTCTGATTCGCGCCCTCTACTCCAATCCGCCAGTGCATGGTGCCCGCATTGCGGCCGAGATTCTGAACACTGCCGATCTGCGTAGCCAATGGCTGAAGGATGTGAAAGGCATGGCGAACCGCATCATCGATGTGCGTGCCAATCTGAAGAGCAATCTCGAAAAGTTGGGCTCTTCACAGAATTGGGAGCATATCACCAATCAGATTGGCATGTTCTGCTTCACGGGCTTGTCCCCGGAGCAGGTGGACCGCCTGATGAAGGAGCACAGCGTTTATTTAACGAGGGATGGGCGCATCTCTATGGCCGGTGTGACCAGCAAGAATGTCCAATACCTGGCCGAGAGCATGCACGCAGTAACCAAGTAGAGTGAAACGGCAGAAACGTTTCTAACTTAGTGATTACCACAAATCGGCACCTGTACGAATTTTTCGCTAGCATTTTCACGCAACACTAAATTGCATGGTCAGACAGGCAAATTATTTGCACACAATCGAACTGATCGAAATTCCCTCTTTAAAGCATATTTGTAAAATGACAAAGATAGTAGCCCCATCAGAAAGTTGCTTAAATTGAAACCAATAGGAATTTTATACAACAGTTCTATTGAAATTTCGAAATATTTGAAATTTGCGTGCAAATTATTTGCTTGTCTGTCCACTCATTCGTTTTTGTAAATATGTGGCTATCAATCTGTCTTTGAAAAAGCAAAATAAAGCATTTTTTTGTAATGTAAGCGAATTATTTTAACCAGCACTCTGTGGACACTATTTTAGGGTTTTCAATTTGACTTTTCTTTCTTTTGTTTCGATATTTGGATATATGTACAACTAGCATCACGGTTTGTTATAACGATATCTTAGCTTATCGCTGGGCTCGCAGTACTCCTTGATAATGAGCTTGCATAGGAATATATGGAATACTATGATTATTGCACAGACCGAGACCCAGAAGAGCGTCGGCAGACCCCCCAACTGATGGCCGTGCTTGTGAAGCGCAATTACGTGCTGTTCGTGCGCCGGCGCTGCAAAGTTTTTAACAATTTAAATGCAATTTGCATGCGACGAAAAGGGCTACCTCTTACCTTCGACCACCTCTTTGACGTGGATCGCATGATGGAGCTCCTCCATGTGCTGCTTATCCTCCGTAATATATAATATTGCAGTCAACGGTTCAGTTAATTTCACTGGAAATTGTCGTCGATTTTGGGTGAGCAGCACAGGATCGTCCAGACAGCCGCCATCGCAGGCATAGTAGCTGCGATCGGAGCGATCCAACGCCACATTAATGACTGCCTTATTATCCTCCTTGACAATAATTGTCACATTTACGTGTGTCTTGTTGCCGTAGTTGAGGCGACGGAAGTGGAAGTCGCGATGCAAGAACTTCGGATGCATATTGCACTCGAGATGCTGATTGCTAAAGCGGAAGCTGCCGAAGCTAAGCACCATGGCCTGTATAACGCCGGAGGCGCCGGCTCTGATGAGATTGTGGCAGCCCTGCTTCTCCAGCGTTACCATCCACGACGAGACCAGCCCGTTGAGGTTCTCCAGCGTGCTCATATCCCGCCACAGATTCTCCGCTTGCAGCGTATGGTAGGAGTCGTAACAGCCCTCGGCATAGGTCAGAGCCTTGGCAATGTCGTCGCGTATCGCCGGCGAATTGGCGGCCATCTCCTCAAACTCAAAGCTGCGCACCTGCGATAGCACCGCATACATCGTAGCATTAATGCGATCGCCGTTCAGGCTCTGTTCTGCCTTGGATGTGGAAATAGAGAAGCCCGTGGCCCAGAGATCTGTCCATACGTTAATGTGCTCCTGCCTAAAAGAGTTGATGCTGTACAGAGAGCCGGCCGTCTTGGCGCTCAGCTTTTGCAGCACCTTTGTCATGGCTTGGGTCGCCTGTTGCTCGGTAGACTCCATAGTCGCCTTCAGCTGCGCCTCCACCACCGGCTTCGAGTAGTGTATGGCTAAGGGATAAATGATGCGCACTGTGCCGCGTTTTCGCAGCTGCAGCTTCGGCTCCAGCTGCGGCTTAACTATGCTAATCACAATAAACTTGCTCGGATCATCCGCAGAGGGCTGCACAGTCCCCGTAACGACTTCCAGCTCTGTGTAGCTTAGCATGCCGGCCGGCACAGGCTCGCTGAGCGGAATGGTGCGTGTCGCTGCCTGCGGCAAACGGACGCGCGGCATTATCAGCTCTATGTCCTCTAACAGATTTCGTGTATTGGTTATCTGCAGCTCCTGCATCAGCACATTGCGATACGTGCGATGGGCGTAGTAAGTGTATGAAACAAAGTAGCCAGAGAAGCACTGAAAGCGATGCACCATGCCCGTCAGATACTCCACCACTGTGGACTCCTTCTGTCCACCATTTCCGGGTCCGCCGTTGTTTTGCGACACCGAAATAACCGGATGGAAACGTATGGGCAGCTGCATTGCACGTCCATGTTTGATATTCAATGCAGCGTCGTGGGCCACTTCCAAACCAATATAACCATTCCCCACGTAGGGTGTAAAGTCCCGCTCACCGGGCAACGGGGACACGTGACGTATGTTCGCGTCATACTCGTAGTTCTGTAGTATGTAGGGCGTTAGCCGGTCGTCCATGCACTGCATCAACGGATCTACAAGCGTTAGGTTTATAATTAAATATATTCTAAAGACCAGCTAATTTGTGCTTGCCTTTCTGTTGTGGCGCATTGAGGAATAGGTAACGAAAGATGGGCGGCAGCATGTAGAACACAATGCAAACGGAAATTAAAGCCAAAAACAGGCGCCGATATGAGCTGAGGGTGCCTTCGGCTAAGCGTTTCAGCCTGCGCACCACCTCTGCGGCATCGAATTTGTTTTTGGCCGAGCGGAACATCATGACTGCGTGCTTTGCGAGCGTTGTTCTTGCTTGCGGAGCACTTATTCATTTGTAAAACGAATACAATTTCAAAGAAACTTGTCCATGTCCAACTCACCCATAACTAGAACAAACACAACATAGTGGCAACGCTGTAGTGCTAGCTCAGCGGCAGTGAACAGTGCAGCCCTAGTCCATGTTCAACTCACACATGACTGGAACAACAGGCAACTGAGTGGCAACGCTGTGAATTGTGCAACCCTAACAGCCATCGCTCAACGCACGGTTGCTGGCACTGTCGTTATCGTCCATGTTCAATCGCTATAATAGAAACGCTCGAAAAGGAAAATGTTAAAGTTGTTTTAGAATTGCAACCGAAATTCGCGAACAAAACATTTGAGAAAACCAAGAGAACGACGTGCAGCATGTGGCCGCAAACGTTGCAGATGTCACGGGACGAGTGCAGAGGCATGCTGCGTCGCCTAGGTGTGTGAAACAAAAACACAAACGCGAGCCCAAGCCGTGTTGCCAATGCAGGAGGGCGCCCAAGCAAAAATTTTGGCCGACGGCGCCGCTGCTGCTACCAATTTGCCAATAGCTAGCCAATATTTCTTTCTCTTCTCAGAGCTGGAATCATATTCGCACATCATCAGTGTTTTCCGCGCTCAGGGCTGTCTCAGCGAACCGAAAGCGAAGCTGCTGGAGGAACTGCGCCAATACTTTCATATCACGATGGAACGCCATCGCGCAGAGGTGCGGCGTGCGGTCAACGACGAGCAGTTGTGTACCATTGCGGAGAAGTAAGTGTTGGCATTATTTTAGCTTTTCGCAGCTTCACTGATTTGGGCGCGCACATTATTTTCTTGATTTGTTTGATTGCTTTTGCAGTGTTTGCGGTCCGAACACATGGCAGGAATGGTCACGTGAAGGTCGTCGTCCGTATCCGCTGCTTCCACGCATAGATCCACAGACCGCTCTCACAATTGTGGCCAATGATTTGGCGGCCAAAGCGTTTGCGGAAAACGCCAAATTAGCCGCGCCGGCTGAAACGGGTGCCAATCTAAAGGAGGCCATGCTGGATCAGGCCACCTATGTGGCGCTAAAGCATGGCAAGGCCAAGAAGCAGGATCCACCACATGTGGTTATGGAAGAGCCGGTAAGTTGTGACCCCCTGTCCTGCCCCTGACATTATATAATCTTGGCTCCCACACGCATGTGTGTTTGTGTGTGCGGACCTGCGTGGGTAGCGGCTGCTGCCGCTGCAGTGAAAGTACAGTCTGCGTTGGGGGGTTCGCCTGGGAGAGGCCGGCCCACTTATGCTATTGCTTTGGGCGTTTTATTTCGAAGCATTGGCGCCAAAACGCTTGACAGACATCGTGTGCATCGTACATATGTATCTCTATTTGTGTGTGTATGTATGTACGTACATATATTTGTATATGATGTGTTTTTGCATTTGCTGCGAGCGTTCACATTGTGTGTTGAATTACTCCAATTGGGCGTCACAACTGGAGTACTGTTGATGGTCTTAACTCCAAACAAGTTAATTGACGTCATAATCCCAATACATAGTGCTACGACCTGATTAATTACAGAGCAATGTTGATGTGTTTATCTTGTTGTCGTCGTTTAAGGTAGCGCTCGCGCGTTTTATTAATTGTTTAACAGCAGCGCGCACGCTGTTAAATGTGCTGCGCTGTTAACCTGCCATGTTAGCTTAACATTTTCCGCTGGCCTTGCGAGCGCGGCAAAGGATCTCAATGAAATCGTAATGGGCAGGATAGTGTAGGACGAATTTTTGTTCTTTACTTTTCCGTTTTTTCTCTGGTCTTAGCTGTTCTATAACAATATAAATATAGGCTAGTTTTGAAGATGCTACAAATGATAATAATAATCGGGCGTACGAACATTTTAAAATTTTATTTTTGGTTTTGAAAAAATAAAAAAAAAATGCAAAACATCAAATTCATGGAGAGCCTGATTTTTCGATTTAATTAAATATTTTTCAAAAACGAGTGCCTTTTATTTAGCGGACCTTAATATTTTGAAGTCCATCGGGAGTAAATAAATTTACACAATAAATTAAATTGCTATTTTTTCGCTGCAGTTCAAGGTACCCGATGTGCCGAATGAGGTGAAGAAGGCGACGCTTAAACGCAAAGAGATCGAGGGGGAATCGAAGCCCAACAAGAAGCGCAGCACACAACATGAGAAGCAACAACTGTTGCAGCAATCGTTGGCCAACATCGAGGATGGACATGCCCAGGAGCCGGAGGAGGGTCGCAAACTAAGCGCGCGCACCCTGCAGAATCGCTTCTTCTACCAGCAGCAGCAGAAGCACAAACAGCGCATGTCCAGCAAGAAAGCAACGGCCGCAGGTGCTCTTACCAATCACAGTGGAGGCCTCGCCACAAACAAGCGAACGGCAGCGCCGGCTAAGAGCGGCCGAAGAAGGGCACAAAAGCAATTGCAGCAACAGAAGCAGCAGCAACAGCTGCAACAACAACAACAGCACCAGCATCAGCCACAACTACAGCTTCAGCAACAGGCACAACCTAAAGTATTATTAGGGGCGGAAAATGCGCCAACAGCTTTGGCCAATCACGTGGCGAATTACCACGAGGTGCAACCGCATGTGGAATATATACTGGATGAGGCGCTCAAATCTGTCTCAGCGGTGCCGACACCCACATCCCCAGTAACTCCCAACTTTGCCAAAGGCAAACATATCGGCGTAGCTGGCACGCGTCTCTATACGCCTTCGTCCGCCACTGAGCGTGTGGAAATCGGCTCGCCTACACAGCGCACGGTGTTTGCCAACTCACCGATTGTATTCAAAGAGAAGTTGCCGCCGCAGCAGCAGCAACAGCAGCTCATAACTCCCGTTAAAAAGTACATTGTAGAGGAGCGTCCAACACAGCCCGCAGCAGCGACACCGCCAGCCACGTCCATAGCCGTGCCCAGTAGTAGCAACAGCGGCAACAGCAATAATAATATCTCGACAGCCAATCTGCCGCTGGCACCACAAATCATCAGCGTACAGCAAATACCCGCACCATCGCTTGGCTCCAAGCTGCGCGCCACAACAGCAGCAACCACAACAACCATATTGCCCGCAGGCACCAAGCTAACGCCCAAAAAAGTGCAGCTGCTTGAATTGGAGGGCAAGCCAAAGGCCACGCCGTCAACAGCAGTACGATTGCTGCCGTACGATCAGCAGCAGCAACTGCATCCGCCATCTCTCGGCAATCTCAGCAAAGTGGATAAGCAAACCGCAGTTCAAAAGTACATTGTGGAGGAGCGACCGCCAAATCAAACCATTGCCACCCTATCGCCCACAAGCCTAACAGCATTGGGTCCTGTCAATGCCTCGACAGTGAATATAATTAAGAATATACCGGCCGCTAGTTTAAACAATACGTTAATAACGCCACTTGCAGCGCCCAATCCCACAAACCCCAACAATCCCAACGTTCCGAATGTCTTCCGCAAAGCAGCAACGAATATCAATATTAAGGCAATCAATGCCACAGGCGCTAGCAGTGGCACAAACAGCGTCAATGCGACCCAATTGCTGGGCAACATTAAGCTAAATGCGGGCCCCACGTCGGGCGCCCAAACGTTTAATATCAAACAGGTGCCCAGCAGTGCTCTACGAAACATTAAATTCTGCTCATCCAATGGCAAAGTTTTTCTGCAACAGGCCAAGATACCAGCAGGCAGCATTATACATAAATTGAATAATGCCAGCAGTGGTGTGGCAACAAATAGCAGCGCCCTCTCACCCACTGGAGCGCCTACATCCACGCAGCCGGCTCAGCGCATTACGATACAGAAAATGCAGATATTGACGCCCTCGCAAGTGATCTCAAGTGCCGCAGGCGGCACCAGCAGCGGCACGGGGGTAACCACAACCATTGTGACGAGCAGCGCCGGCGCCGGCGCCAAAGTCAAGCCCACCACACTGACCTTTGCCACAGCCACGGGCAGCAAAAATAATCTCGTCATTCTGCCCGTCAGCGCGTCCAGCAACATGCGAACGGTTACTTTGGCCGCCAAGCCTGTCACCAAAATAGCCGGAGAGGTGCTAGCAACACCGAAGCCGAATGTCTTGGTCATTGGCTCAGCCAACGCCACTGCTGCAGTGGCAACAACAACAACCACAGTGGCAGCAACGCCACCACAGCAGCAACAACAATTGGTGGTCAGCAGTAGCAACAAACCGAAGGCCCATCAGCTAATAACCGAGGACACTCCCATCGATATTATTAATATGCCCATCATAGTGGCCGACAACAATGGATCTGTCAGCAGTTCGACAGATGCGAAAGCAAGAACTACCCTCAAAGCAACCACAACAGGGCCACAGCCACTGGTGGTGTTGAATACCACCGACTGGGAGGTGGAATTGGATCAGGCCTCGAAAGCAACGACTGTTAAGGGCGCAACCTCAACAACAAATTCTTCTGCCCCCAAGGGCAACAGCAATCCGACGCTGGAGGAGGTGATCGTCGAGTGTTCCAATGAAAATAATGCTATCGAAGAACAGGAGCAGCAGCAGCAGGACCAGCAGCAACAGGAGCAGGTTAACAATCGCAGTGAGTATAACTAATTTTCGTAACTCGTTAGCGAACTCTGTGAGTTCTTCTGTCTTTCGAAAAGCCTTTAATGACCGCCTCTTTTAAATTCATTTGTGTGTTTCTTTAGTAATCGAACTGGACGATGAGAGCGTTGAGTATGTGGACATGGATCTGGATCAGCCCATTGAGATTCAGAGCACCAGCAATCTGGAGTCGTTGGAGGAGCTGGGCGTGGCAACAACAATGGTGACAACAACGACCACTTCGCTCAAAACTGCAATAATGTCGACACAATTGTACGATGGAAATGACAGCCAAATGCCACAGAAACTGCAAGCAGCGCAGGATAATGCGACAGCGGGAACAACAACAATAGCCACAGCAGCAGCAGTAGCAGCAACAACAATACCAGCTGCAACAACAATGACGACGCAGCCATAGGCAGCGCTGCCTACGTGTTAGGAATTTGTTATTAGCCGGAGAAAGTTAATTTGATATTTAATTAAGCGAAATGGGTCGAGTAGAGGAGGAGAGGAGAGGAGTAGAGGCAAGGAGTGAGAGCGCACAACAGATTTATATCTTTTAGACTTAGCACCAACTCACCCCCCCACACACACACACACACACACACACACACACATACACCCACACACCAATATATACCTTGACACACACAAATGCATACCTATAACCAGGCTTATTAGCATTAGTTTTTTAAATAGCATCAGTTTATTTCTTGGAGCGAAGTGCAACATTACTTTATAACGCTTGTGTATAAATATTAATAATAATATAAATAATCGCATAGTTTCTAATTTGCAATGAGTTTTGAGCTTATAGAGCAAGTACCTAGTAGCAGATCCTCAAGAATTTTGCAGAAGAACCGAAATTTTTGAACAATAGCTTAATGATATCTCCTCCAGGTTAGTTAATTAAAGGCGCCCCCTCCTAGTTAGTCATTCGACAGTGGTTTATGAAAGTAAAGTTAATTTTGTCTCTTTCGAATTCTCAATTAGGTTGCCTGCCATAACATTTTGGCTTTCGTTGACAATTCGTATACACAGTTTTCAAAATGAAACTCTAATTCTGTATAGTTTGTAAATATATATAAAAAAAATATTTAAAAAAAAAAACAAAAAGAAAGAAGGAACCCCAAAACCAACAGCTACATCCGAACACTAGTTGCTTAGCATAATTTAAATCATTAAAACACTGTACACGGAATTGTTTTACGTTCTTTAAACCTATTCCTATTTAATTGCATTACTATTACAACTACTTATTACTTATTTAATGAGATTATAGTTCTTAGTTCGCAAGGCCGCTAACTGAAAACGAAAACGAAATTTGTAGCTTGTAAGCGAAACGATTTTAAAACTTTTCACATTGTATGTAAATAATTCAGCGATAGTGTTGAACATCCAATCCAACATCGTCTAGAGATTTAGTAAAGTAGTTCAAAATAAGTTGCCACATCAGAAGTTAAAATGTTTTGCGCACTTTGTTAAATGCAAGAAATAAGCGCAGAGGAAAAAAAGGAGGACTAAGATGAAGAAACGAGATGAAGGTCGAGGAACAGGAACAGACAAACATGATTAGCCCTATAATTATAGTTAGTCGTTAAGCATTTTATGCGCATATTGTGTAACGTTAAAATCATATGTAAAATATATATAAAATAATTTTTAATGAGAACCACACACTCGGGAAAAAGAAAAGCAAGAGAGAAAAGGGGAAACAATTATCGAAGCCACACGAAAGTTTTTCAAAATATTTACAAAACACTTTAAGAGTAATTCAAATTAAGTATATTGTTGAACAATGCGTGTCGCTGTAAAATTTTTAGCTCATAGATATTTTAAATGAAATAAATTTAAATGTGAAAGTAACAACAATCTCGTCCCTTTACTGTCTCTTACCATCTATAGATCTGCTATATAGAATGAACCAATTGAAAGGTAAGGTATTATTGAAGAAAAAGGTCGTACCAGCTACGGAAATATAAATGTGAATATTCACATAAAATAAATAGCAATTGTTCAGAACAATACTCCCTGACCATTAGCTGTTAAATCTGAGTTCAACAGCTTTCTAAAATCGCCAATTATTCTATACGCGTGTTTACCAGTTCTTTATTCCAAAAAATTTTTGAGAAGCTTGCCTCAACCCTCTGAGACCTATTTATCCAGCTTCAAAATATTCAATATTTAATTTTATATTTTTGACAATACGACATTAAAAAATAACTAAAATATGTTTTAGAATATTCGTTTGAAATCATTTTAATCTCTTCATTTCATTCAAAACCGTTGCAATAGTTATACAGTTCGTAATTTTTTTCGAAAGCAAATTCACTTCGAAAGGGAAAAAGATGTCTATTTCATTCGTTTCGAAAAGAAGGAGTAAGTCACATTGTTGAGCACAACAATGCGCTGTAAACAACAATGTAAAATTGATAGATGTTTCAAATGGAATAAATTTAAATGTGAAAGTAAGCTGTTAAATCGGTTTTTCAAAGTTTTCTTAAATCGCCAATTATTCTAAATACTTGTTTAACAGTTCGTTATTCCACATTAATTTAAAAGCCAACCTGCTAAGACCTTTAAAATATTCAATATTTAATTTCATTTATTTTACAAACACTAGTCATTGGTGTTTAGGAAGTTTGCTGAAACCAATAAAAAATGATTTGAAATCGATATTTATATCCTGTTTTTTAAATTCGTTCAAAATAATTTTATTCGTTTCTTTCGATTCGAAACGATTGCAATAGCCATTCAATTCGTAACCTTTTTCGAAAGAAAACAAATTTCCATTGCAACGGATTCGAATTTCACTTCGAAAGCGAAAAAGATTTCAATTTCATTCAATTCGAAACGAGTGCGGTTTCATTTGAAAACAGAAACACGACAAATTAAAAACAATCTTTTTACTTTTGAAAAGAGGCTTCATTATAAAAACCTATTGTTTTATTTGATATGCTCGAAATAGCAATAATATTACCATCAGACAGGTTTTATGAAACAAAGTAGTTTGTTGTTGAGGTTAAAAGTAATCCTGCCAGTCGATAAATGCCGCCCTAGTTCTAAACCCGTTATCTATTCTATCAAGAGGTTTTATACAAAATTTTAAAAATATCCAACCTTTTTTAAAAAGTAAATTAGATTACCCCTATGAAGGACTTGGGTAAAACTAATCCTTCCAGTCAATAAATGCCACTGAAGTTTCTCATTACAACCAATTAGCATTTCAAATTAGTTTTCACATTTTGTTGTTTTAATGAATACAATAAGATAATTTCCATCGTTTTACATAATCTTTCATTGCTTTAATATACCCCGACTTAACATTGTTAACTAAATGGTCAACTAACATAAGGATTTAGAGTAGGAAATCGTGTATAAACGAGAGCGTGTTCAAAGTTACAAATGCAGCACAGTTGTTGGAGGGTAACCAATAGAAAACAGAATTGTAGAAACTATATGAGAACATCTAACTAAGTTTTGTGCGCTTCAGTTGCGTCCCAGTGCCATGCCACGGCCCCAAGTATTGGCCTGCGTTTGACGTGGTGGCGGCGCTCTGCTCTCTGGTGGCACGCCGAAGCCGCTGATGCCGCCGGAAATGTCGGGAACCAAGCGTTTGCTAGACACACCCACAAGTTAGTCAATCAATCATTACTACAACAAATTTTGTAACTTACAGAAACTGCGGCGTTTCCAGCAGCGCATTGCCGCCGAGCTCTTGTGGGTATTGGAATTTCAAGAAGTAGTAGACATGGCCATTGAAAATGCCCACCAGCGAGGCCAGGGAGCTGTAAACAGCACGAATTAGCATCAAAGTTGTCCCACCATTTCTAATTTGACTCACCCATGGAATATTAGCTCGATGCCCGCCAGCACCCAAGGTAGATACATGGCCTTGAAGCGACTGCCAAACCAGAAGGTGACAATCACCTCTTTGTTCAACTGGCACCAGATGTAGGTAATGGCAACGACCAGCATGTCCATTAGAAAGTAAACGTTAAACAGCATGCCGCCCAGATTGGCCAGCACAGCAATGATCATCAGTAAATACATATAATCCGCTGGACTGCGTGCATACTGATCCTTCTCCAGCCGCTGGCTGTACTGTGTGATGAAGTAGCAGTTAATGAGGAAATGGAAGCCGGTGGCCCCACTGAGTGGAAACACAAACAGCGAAGTCACGCAGCGCCACAGTTGGAGGCGGGTGAAGACAAGCTCTCGCGACAGGTACATGTACTCCATGGGCAATAAGCCGAAGCGACAGAGCAGGCTGAGGCCGACTGTGGCCGTCAGCCAGTAGCGGGTGAAGCGCGGCAGCGAGTTATACCATTGGCCTGCGTCTGCCATGCTGAAGCGTCGCTGTGTGGTCTTTTCGATTGGAAATTCCTTTTACGTGATTGTGATTTCTTAACAATATTGAATGATTTGCACCAATCAGTTGTTGATTTACGTGTCTTTCCCTTAAGTTGCCATCTGGTTGCAGTGCGTGCTGCCAACTCGATGCTAGCAAGTAGGTCATAAATGGCTCTACTAAATGCAGCCATCTGGCAGCACCAACAAGGCCGGTTGCTCGTTTTGTTCAGAACAGCTGTTAGCCGTTACCAACAAGTTGAGAATAGAGTGGCTTGGCGCGAGTTTTAAAATGTGAGCTAAAGCACGAAAACTTTAAGTTTAAATCAAATGAAAGTTTTGTTGGAACTTAAGTTAATTATAGTATATTTTTTATTTAATTCCTATTTGAAATTCCTCCTGAGTGCCCAACAGAAAGCCGGAGTCTAAATTATGCATGATTTGTTTCAAACTACCCTGAGATAAATAAAAAGTGAAACTATAATTAATTAAATTTGTTTTGAAATCCTACTATTACTGCAAATCTTTGTAGGCATGATTGTATCTAAAAATTCAATTCAAAGCCAACAATAAAGCGTTACAATTGTGCCCCGCACTCGACAGAAACTACTGACAATTTCCAACAGCCAGCACATGTATGTACACTTAATTGTTCACGGGCGAAAAGGCACAAATAAATACCCGAAATTCGTTTCAATTTTTTGTCAGACTAAAAAACTGTGCTGTAGTATTTCCTTTATTTATCTTTTACGTTCATTTGTGTTTTTTTTTTTTTTGCAGCGCTCGTTGCCTTTTGTTCACAAATTTGACAGCAGACAGGTAAGCAGCAACGTGTGCCAAAGAAAAATTCCACATGCCATTGTGGTTGGCCGGGACGCAGTGGTGCGAAATTAATGAACATACGTACACATGAGCCACTTGAATTGTGCGCTTTTCCAATATGCTGCACTCACGAGTGCGCCACCAAACGAAATTGTTTAATATCTGGCCCCTGCCATTCGGCAAAGCCAAAATTATTTCAGAGTTTGTGAAATAAATGTATAATTTCTTGAAAGGTTGTCTTAAATGGAATCTTTTCAGAGACTTATGTTAGCTTAGGCGGGGCATGGTGTTAAATGGGACAATTAATAGAGTATTTCCAAATCATCCCATTAAAAAAATAGAAAAAAATCAGATCGTAACTCTTAAAAAAAACCTGACAAAATAAAGTATATAGATAATCATTTTTTGGTATTATGTTTAGATAATAATAACAGAAATAAAAAGTTGGAAGTGGATGAGGACTTTCTCTGTATACAATTAAAAAACCCTACTTTTAACCAGCTTTGGGAAAATTTGCAGGGCTATATGTCGAAATACTGGTCTCCCTTTTGAATCCTTGCCATTTTAAATGAATTTTTATTATTGGGTAAAAAATAACGAACGAATTCTGAATAAGAATTTTATTTCCACATCTTCATAAAAAGACAAGTTTTTCTAACAAATAAATGTAAAAGAGTGAACAATAAATGAAGACAAATACGTTATAAATATCATTATAAATATCCCACCAATCAACTTTTCTCAACAACTAGTAGTGTGAGTAGCCAGCCCACTCATCTAATACTCTCTCTATTAGCTATTTTAGAGATGGCTCCAAATTAGAAAACCGTTAACTTAAAACCAAACAAATGAACACAATAAAAAGTGAAAGTTAACGGGGCGTCCATAAAAGTAAGCGAAAACAAAAAGAGTAAATAAAGTCGCCCAGCAAGTGCCGACCAAAAGCAAAGTTCAGCGCAAAGTGGACAAAGCAAGGAGTAAGTAGCAGAATAGCTCCACAACAAGTTGGACATGAAAACGGAGCAACTGTGGCAGCTAAACAATGCTCAAGAGCCTCAAGTCCGCAAACATTGCAAGTGCGAGTGAGTGAAGAAAAAAAAACAAATTGCACACGTATTGCCACTGCCTTTGTGCATGTGTACATGTGTGTGTGTGTGTGTGCGGGCGGGTGAGCGAATGCTGTTTGCCTGTTGAATTATTTTTTTGCATGTCTTTTCCATCATCAAATGAGCGATAGAGCGCGAGAGAGAGAGAGAGTGAAAGGGAGAGCGAGAGAGTGCACACACAGATGGGTGCTCTGCTGGTCATAACAGTAACAAAATGTCGAGCTAATCAAGTGGTTTCATACCGGTTCAGCGTTGGTATGTGTATGTAGTGGTGTGTGTGTGCGCGTGTGTTTGTGCGTAGACACACCCACCGCTAAAGACAAAATGGGTGCTTGCTATTTGCTGCGCATGCGTTGCCATTTCCCCTCCACAGCACGCCCACAAATCAACTTCGCGCGCGTTACGTCATCATGAAGTTGACTGTAAATTTTTAGTAGCAATAGCCAACACGTCGCCAATAAGCGAGCAGAGGGAAAGTGTGGGGAAAATGCCGAACATTAGAACATTTTTTAGCATTGCATTTCATTTACATACACATGTACATATGTACTACATACACACACGCACACAAACACACTCCTTAGCGCTTTTATTTACTTACGCGTTGAGCATTTTCTGCGCCCGACTCTCTCACCTGTGTGTGCAATCCAATCCTTCGTCTCCTTCGCTTGTCATTTGGCTGTGAGTTGACGCTTTTGCTCGCTCATTTCGTTGCGGGCCCCAGTAAATATGTACATGTTGAAAAGGAAGCTTCGACTAAGAGCTCCTCCCTGCCCTGCGCGCAATTCAAGTCTTTTATTTAATATTTTATATGCAAACATTTTATTATCCTTTTCAGCCTGCCTGCACAATTCGAAGTCGTCATCGTCGTCAGCGTCTACGCCTCCCACTCTGCCACTGCCTATGTTGGATTTGGCTTTTGTCCATTTCAATTGCTGTAATGAATGCCAGCCTGGCCGCCCTCTGCCAACTCCTACATACAATTTTACAAACATACATGCATATATCCTTGCCAGCAATGTCGCGTATTGTTGGGCTTATTGTTAAAACACTTGAGGTGTGGAAATGGAGTTGATTTCTTCGGCTTTTTTGTTGTTTATTAAAACCTCCACGTGCAATTTCGTAGCGGTTGCAAATGACGGACGGGCTGCGAAATTTCTCATTATTTAATGAAGTGCCGCAAATCCATCCCCACGAACATCTGATAAGGAAATTATAAGTAAACAGCCATCGTTCAGATTGAAGCGGAAGGAAGCTGAAATTTGTTTGTATTTAAAAGTTTTCAAAACATATTCGGGTTTTAAGTAAACGTTTAACTGAAACCTAAAGCGAATATTAATTGTGGAGTTAAGGAATAGTCCTGGATATTTTAAGAATATAATAGAAACTGATGTTTGGCAGTTTATGAGATTTCACATTATAGCTAAGTAGAGGCTTAGAAACTATGCACGGAGAAATGTTTCTACTAAAAGAAATATAGGTTTATTCATCGGAACTGTATCGGATCTGCTGTTATTATAATAGTCCCTCTTTATAAAAGTTCTTCATTATAGTAAAAAGGAATCTATAAAAGCCTTTCTACACATACTATACTATAATTTTCTATACCAATATATATATTGGCAAAGGCGAGCTGTACTTTTGATGCTTTAATTTAAAAAATTCTTTAAAGAATTTTCTTGGAGCATTCAGATTATCATTGGGAACCTTTAAATCTTACTGCAAGTCAAAATATCATCAGATATATAAGTTTGCTGGTAATCTTTATCTTGTCTAGATGCACAGCTGATTATGCTTTGTACAATCGATTTCTGGAACTCTTTTCCTCACTACATTTTAAATACGTATCCACTTATATAACGGCTTACGGGAAATCTTTCTCACCATCACAGCACAACTTTCAGTTTTTGAGTAGTCTTATTAGTCATTAATTAATATTAAATCCTCTTCTCCTCTTCTAAATCCTTTTCCTAACGTGCCTTTGTTTGTTCATTTTTTGGTGAATGGCAAATAAAGTTCCCCAAAGTGGCGGAAGAAGTTCAATTCCTTTCTTAATACCATATACAGTGCGAGCCTCTACAATTTAGAGTCTAAATAGTGCTCACAAAGGTGCTCTCAATTGATGGCTAACAAAGCTGTGTCCTGATTCTGTGATCGCCTGGGAAACACCGAGCAACTGTGCTCCATACGCTGCTGACATTGCCGTGCATCTAATTACAGTAATTATTTGATTAAAAAATCTCCCAGGGTATGCACAAAGGAGTGCTCGACCGCTCTGCCCTTGCACGGGGCATCTCCATTACAACAAAAATAACAAAAACACGCATTCAAAGCATTACGCTCCGTTGGCATAGCAAGCGGAATGTTAGGAATCTATTCTACTTACGGTTTTATTGCACACATACCCACATATAGGCATACATACACATGCACATATATACAAGTATATATGTATGTATATATAGTTCACATGCCAAAAGAAACCAATACACACATACCTGCATACTATTTGCCATGAAATTCTGCAAATCATAGAACATTTCTGTAATAATGGCGCCCAGCAGGAGGCGGGGAAGACAGGGCCGTCGGCTAGGGGGTAGGGGACACAGGGGCGTTAGGGGGCAACCAAACTCGAGGGGCTGACGACACGCACCTGTGTAAATGAGAACGCAAAAAGGAGCAAATCACAAGAGCAGCGCGGCGCTAAATTGCAGTACAAATATGTACACATGAAGGGGCTGGTTGGGGGCTCGCGGTGGAGCTGTAGGGACGACGATGACAACGTTTAGGAAAAGGACAGTCAGGCAGGCAGCCAGGCAGGCAGGCGGCAGACAGGCAGACAGCAGCTGCTCAGCATCAGCATCAGATGAGCATGATGGCGTTAATAGCACACACAATTGACATATTGCGCCTCAGTCAGGCGGGCAATACAACAATAATAACAACAACGGCAACGATGACGACTCAAAACACCCCTTAAACGAGTCGACTGCTACAATCGAGCGTGCCCGACTCTTACATGCCCTCTAAGCGCTTCAGTAATATGCATTTTGTTTTATTTATTCTATTTGCTATTCAAAATAAGTTAACAAATAATTTGTTTGCTAAATTCGAGAAAGAAAGTATTAAAATTATTATGGGGGATTTATCGGTAAGCTGATATTTATTTAAGCTCAGAAGAAGC